TAGAGAAGCTTTTTCTTGACAATGCTTCTTCCTCTATGATCCATCTTAAAAACAAATTTCAAAATTTTGAAAAAGGATCTCTTTCAATGGAAGAATATATACAACAGTTGCATTCTCTATCATGTGCGCTATCCGCCATCCGAAAGCCAATATCAGAAAAGGACCTTGTTTCTCAAACTTCTCAAGGGTTACCCCTCCATACATAAAGTATATTTCAGATTTGTTGATGCGGCATATTTTATCTGAATCAAAGCCAATGAATACACTTTTACATAGTAAGCAAAATTGGCACACTCTTGATTCTCCTCTTTTGAAGGATCCAACTGAATATCGAATAATGGTCAGAGGATTATAATATTTGGCTTTTACACGACTCGATATCCAGTTTGTTATGAATTTGGTGTCACAGTTTCTCCATCAACCCCGCCAAGCTCATCTACATAATGTTAAGCGAATTTTTCGCTGCCTTCAAGGTATTATTGTATATACGGCCAAAACCGATCAGTCTGTCGTACGAACTGGTCGAGATGGTCATACTTTGATCGAAGAGCGTCTTCGTAATATCAGATTGAGGTCCGAAGTCAGGTCATCAAGCTTCGAGTTCTTGGACCGATCAATGTCAAGCTCGATATTATTATCGAGCTCGAATCCAAATCGAGCTACGAGGCGAAGCGAAGTTATCGAGCTTAAGATTCATACGCCGACCGACACCGATCCCGAATTGATATCAGACTCTGAGTCGGAATCGAGCTCGAGTCAAGATCAAGAGCTCGAGTCAATATCGAGCTCACAGACAAGAGCCATTGCAACCGCACTAGGGGAGAGAATCCTGGCAGGAATTAGGAAAAAGCTAATTCATCATGGATTCCCCACTATGTATTTTTTATTATATCTAAAGTAAGATCCCTCCACTATTAAAAGGATAATTGTTGTTTCTGTAAAGGGCAGAGACATTCACATTGTAACAAGAATCATATTTTCTCATATTGAAAGATTAACCTTTTGAGCTCCATCACTTCATCTTTATTTTGCTCATTTATTTTTCTCCTTTCTATTGTGTTTATCTTTTATTCTTTATAGTCAAGATTGGATTTTTCTATTTCTCTTTATGATTTGTGTCAAGTTATACCACATACCCTTAGAACTACGTATAAATTCAACTCTATCCGATTTTTCGGGTAAACATGTTGATTTTGTCCTACAACTCTACTGTGATTTATCACCTAATTTTCTTGTTTATTCTGATGCCGATTGGGCCGGATGTCAATCTAGTCGGCGGTCAACCTCTAGTTATTGTGTGTTTTTTGGAAAAAAAATATTATTTTTTGGTCAGCTAAAAAGCAGCCCACAGTAGCACGTTAAAGTACTGAAGCGGAGTATCAAGCTTTGGCCTCTGCTGTAGCTGAAGTCACATGGATTCCACAGTGATTGTGTGAATTACATCTTTTCTTAAAAGATCCCGTTCAATCTTACTGTGATAACATTGGGCCATTATATCTTGTTCAAAAGCCAGTGTTGCATTCTCGAACGAAGCATGCTTCAATAGATTATCATTTTGTTCATGAGAAAGTTGCCTCAGGAAATCTTCTAGATCATCATGTCTCATCGTCTCAGCAACTTGCAGATATATTTACTAAGTCATTACCTTCAACAAATTCACTGATTTGGTTAGCGATCTGAACGTTCGATCCTCCCGCTCAGATTGCGGGAGGGTGTTAGAGAATACTCTACATTTATTTAGAGGATTAACATTTATTTATATGATAATTAGAATTTATTATAATTACCTTTGAATGATTGTATTGCCATATTTGTATCTTTGTATTTATTACATTTTCATTCTTTATATTGTAACATTATAATAATTGTAATATAAATACAGTCAAACCTCTCTATAACAGCCGTGTTTGTTCCGATATTTTTTTGGATGTTATAGTGAAGTGCTGTTATAGAGGACATACATTATAACATAATATAAAAGGTCGATTCCGAGAAAACTTGACTTTTATAGTGAATTGTTGTTATATAGGGATGTTGTTATAGAGAGGTCTAACTGTACATAAAACCCACTTAGTTGGGTCATTCCATCAAAACCTTTTTCAATTGTGGGGTTTGTAAAAACTAGTAGTTATATTGAATACCATTATTTTCACTTTGAACAAAATCTTTTGGGAGCACTTTAATAAGTTCAGTAACATATTTACATTGTTGAGTCATTCCCAAATGTGCATGGTATAAGTTGGATTAAGTTAGAGGTGCATTCAGGAGTTTCAGGACGATGAATGCATTACTACCTTTAAAATAGAATTCGGTTTTATCATATAAAATTTTAGGATAATAACAAGTTGGCGAGCAAGTTATAATTAATATTCTTATCACAGAAAGGTATCATTCATTTTATATTTGTCCTTGATGAGTTTTTATACTTTAAAACGGTCAATATTTAAAACAATTAAAAGAAAAAGGATGAATAAAAAAAGGAAAGAGATTGATAAAGAAATTGGGGAAAGGGTGTGCATTTGTTCTTAAAGCCTTTGCCAATTTGCTGATTCGTTGAAGAATTATGTCGAAATTGAAGAGAGGACTCATTGAAGACTCAATAAAGAGAGGGTGTTTGAGAATGAGTATTCTATTTTTGAGGGATTTTGAAACTCAAAAAAGAAAATGACCAAAAAAAAGGAGAGACAGACAGAAAAATGATAACCAAGTATGAAAGGGAAAAACAAAACAAAAACATGTAACAATTAAGTTTAAAAAGCGTAAATTTTATTTTAAAAAAGACAGCACCAAAGGATCGACCACTTAACTTGGCAAAGCAACAATGCGCTCAACCACTGCTACACCAAAGTACTAGTTGACCTTGGGATCACATGTAGAAATATAAGAAGAAATTAAGAAAGTAATAGTGTTATAAATTATTTAGGGAGGAAAGCATGAGTTCAGGTGAATCCAACCCCTACATGTGAATCTACCCCTGGATTTAGCGGTTACATTTTGATCTTTCACTTAGTAATGATTATTTATAATTCTACTCTCTCTCTCTTCCAGTTTATGTGAATATATTTCTATTTGGGCCGTTTCAAAAAGAGTGACCATTTTCTAATGAAAATAACTAAACTTAAACGTTCAATTTCACCCTTAATGAGAAACTTTTATAGTCATACAAATACTCTGTCATGCTTAACACCATAAGTTTCAAACGAATTATAGTCACACAAATGTTTTAACTTGTTTAGAACCACAAGTTTTAAAGGTCTTCATTTCTTTTTAAACTTTGTGCCTAGTCGAATAGGTTCACATAAATTAAAAACGAATTGATTAGTAAATACCTTAATTTACTTTAAAAGATGTCTAAATTTTGTGATTTAAGTAAAATATAATGTCAACTGTTGAAACAAAATAACATTCAATGCATTTGGTTTGATTTTTATCAAAATCAAATCAAACCAACTATATCAGTTTATCGGTTCGAATTTTATCGACGCTTTTGATTTTTTGGTGTCACATAAATATTGTTTCAATCTTACTTTGTTAAATTAAAAGATAACGTTTTGATAAGTTAATACTCCCCTTGTTTCAATTTTTGTGAACCTATTTCTTTTTTAGTCTGTACTAAAAAGAATGACTCATTTTCATATTTGAAAATAATTTACATTGATACAATGATTTATAGCCACATAAAATATATATGCCTCATTTTACACCAAAAGTTCAAAAGTCTTTTTTTTCATAAACTCCTTGTCTAGTCAAATAACATAAATTGAAACGGGGGGAATATATGTTTAGTAAAAATTAAAAATAATTGACAAACATATGATCTATTAAATTATTCTTATGGAGGAATTTCTTTTTCTTTTTTGCAAATAGCTGAATTTAGTCTAACAATATTTTTTTTTTTATTGATGTACGCTTTCAAACTTAATCGAATTTTAATAATTAAATAAAAATATCTATATAAAATTTAAATAATGATAAATTTTGTTTAATTTTAAAAATTATCGATAAAATAGCATTTCAAATTCGTAGAACATATACGAGTTTAGCAGATCTTGACTTATGAATATGAAAGAACAAAGAAATTAAGGCATTTTAGTAACACTTGATAAGAAAGTGATGATACACGTTAGAAACAAGTATTGTTTAAAGTTAATAAAATTAGATGCACTTTATAGTTCTATTAAAATATTACAACTTATGAGAGGATCAAAGATATTTCTATACATATTTTTAAATAAAATCCAACATGCAATTTTAAAAGTATATATAAAAAATATATATTTATATATCCGTTTGGTTCAAGTTTTTCTTACTCAATACCGAATCAAACCAAACCAAATTAAGTATGTTTGATTTAACTTTTCGGTTTAGTAGTATAATTTTTAGGTTCAGTTTGAATACCCTAACTGTTTTGAATTCTAATTTGCTTTCTTATTCTATTATCGAAAAACATGAAACTGGCATGTTAATCCCCTTTGCTTTATACAATACATATCTGTAACTTATGAAATACTAACATTTTAATTTGATTGAATGGATAGTCATTTCAATAAGAATAACGGTACTCTCGTTTGATTTCAAATATTACATTTTAAGACAATTTTGTATTATAAATATATTATTATAATTATTGTAAAACGCTGAATTGTGGTCACTGTTTTGGATGGAGGAAGTAACTTTCATTGCCCAACTCAAAAAGAAACATGTCCTTTTCAAAATGATAGAAAGAAAAATTAAAGGTTTTGGCAACTTAAGTTCCAAATTCTAAATCAGAAAGTACATCAGCCCCATGTGCTTGAAGGGTTCACTCAAATCCCAGCCAGCTAACAAAATTTAAATATTAACGAGCTGCACACCGAACAGCAACAGTGGCATGTGGACGAAATATGAAACTCATATGCTAATGTAGCCATTTCCAAGGCGACAAATATGAACTAACATAACCAAACACACCACATGTAAATCGACAAAATAGTTTTGTATGTTTCAAAATAGACTTAAACTAAATCAAGCAATAAGAGAGAAAAATAGTAGAACGATGCCTTTGTCTTACAGTCATTTCATGTTTTGCCTATTTGACAAAAAAAATCTGTCATGAATAGTAAATATGTTCTCTTCAAACAGCAAACTTTATTGTCTCTTCTTTCTCTCCACAAAGATTTAAAGAAGCAAAATTTTAATATTTTTTTTAACCCTTGTAATATCACTTACTAATGTACCTTGTCATCATGTAATTGCAATTGACCTTGTTTAGGACTCTCTAATGCCCTTTTCTCTTGCTCTTCATCGTCCGAACTTGATTTTACAGCATCATTCCTCTCAGCCCTTGTCCTCAAAGCTTCCAGCAATTCCCAAACAGCCTTGTTTTTATTCCTCCTATTCTTGATTAACACCTCACTTATATCAGCAGGTGTCATTTCAGCTTTTTCAATCACTTGCTCTAATTGCTCAAGAAATTGCCTCTCCACATCATCATCGTCGTATCCCAAGTAATTCTTCAAGAGAATCTTGAGTGCCGCAAAAGAGCAGTAACTCATGTGAATGTGCATGTCCATTCTCCCACTCCTCAACAGTGCAGGATCAAGCTTCTCAATGTGATTGGATGTGAACACAAATATCCTCTCAGTTCCACAACAAGACCACAAACCATCAGTAAAATTTAACAAACCAGAAAGAGTTATAGTATTCCCACCATCTTCAGTACTACAACTTCCTGCTCCTGGAGGTGAGAATGAATGGGTACTACTATTATTATTATTATTATTATTTTTCCTGTTAGTCAAATTGATAGAGCAATCAATATCCTCAATGACAATGATAGATTTAGAACTTGTCTTCATCAACAACTTCCTGAGCTCGGAATTAGTGTGGACCTCGGTTAATTCAAGATCATAAATATCATAACCAAGAAAATTGGCCATGGCAGCAATCATGCTAGACTTGCCTGTACCTGGTGGTCCGTAAAGAAGGTAACCCCTTTTCCAAGCCCTCCCAGTTGTCTGATAAAAAGATTCTCCATTGGCAAAATCCAAAAGATCTGCCATAATCTCAGCTTTTTTCTGAGGATCCATAGCAAGTGTCTCAAAAGTATTGGGATGTTTAAAGGGTACCGACTCCCAAGGATGGCCTCTGGAATCAAGTGAACCCCCACGTGAATTCGTGTACAGCAACCGATCTTGGTTTTTCCTCCGAATTTCATTTGCTTTTTCCATGACAAAATCCAGATAAGAGCCCAACACCACTGCTTTGTCTTTCTTCTTGGCACGTAGGAGGAAACCCCTTTTCTCTTCTGGGAGAGGACGCCATGAAAATGTCTGGGCCTGCCTTGGGATGACGACGTGTTCCCACAGGACTTTAACAGTACCATTGAATGTGTCAATGAGGGAATCGTTATTGGAAAGCCCAAAAGTGATGGTGCTGGAATTGAGTCCCCTTGTGAGACTGAGGCGATTCCCAGTGATGGAGGCAGAGCTGCTCAGGTAGAGCTGAACGGCGTTGTAAAGCTCATTGGTATTAACGCCGTCGATCTCCGTTATGTCATAGTAGCAATAGGCAGAGAACCAGTTGCAGATGCGATGGATGAATTTGAGGGACGCAAAACGGACTTCTGCTGGGAAAACTGTTTGAAGGAGGCTTTGACTGAAAGCCCATACCCCCATCATTGATGCCAGCGTTGTCCACAACTCTCTCATCCCTCAATCAAAATGTGTGTATACGTATTCTTATCTCTCTACTAGTACAGGGAGTTGGGTGGTTTAGAATGAAAAAATATCAACTTCTTCCTATATTGATAATCTCTACTTGGATTACGAGTGATGAAATTGATGGGGTTTGGTAAATCTTGGAAACAGAAGGGAACCAATGAGAATTCTTGTTCTTTTCTTGAATTAGGGTGGGAGGAGAGGAAAAAAATCTCCTAAAAGGTGAAAGAGAGATTAAAGGTATATTCTACTTTTTTCAAAGGACTCGGTGGAAGGTGTTGCTTCATTTATAGAGAAGGTTGATGGGTTCTTCTGAACATCTTGAAAAATGGCAAGTTTTTTCTTGTAGATTAAAGAGGGGGAAAAGGAGTCTAAAAAGGTGCAAGCTTTTTGTTTTGAGATGGGAATTGGGAAGAGAGTTGGCTGGCAATGAGAAAGAGAGTAATCAGATACTAGTATACAAATTACAGGGAAAACAAGGGACCCACAACTGACAAGGAGGAAGGGAGGGGAAGGGGAGGGGAAGAGTCTAAAAACATAAAGACAAAACAAGAAGTTTTGGATGGCTGAGTTGGTTCGGAATAGATCAAAGATGGGACCTTATAGGTGGGTTGTAGAGTTGGAATTTAGTGAGGTACAGAGGTTCTTTTTCAAAATTTAGCCCTTTTTTCTTGCATCTTATTATGGAAAATTAGAATAGGCTTCTTCTGCCGGGCCGAGCCGGGGTATGGGTGTTTTATTCTGAATTACTAATATGGAAGATCTTTTCGAAAGTGACAATAAATGCGAGAGTCCAAAGTCTTACCATAGAAAAAAAGAATTTTTAGGTTTTGACAGAGTTTCATTTCCAACTGCCGACTTGTCAATGTATGACAACCTACACATTTTAAATAATATTTCCGTTATCCTAATTAATCTAATGCAGTTTGAATTATTAAGAGTCTTTTTTTTTACTGTAACTTTTTTATTTGTCTTTTATATATTTTGGATTGTATTATAAAATATAGCTCAAAGTAACAATATAGATCAAGGAAAAACAAGCTAAGAGATATAGAGAGAAAGAGATGAGAGATTATTATTATTTCTTCTTCAATTGTGTATATCTATTCCTATCTATTATAAGACCTTTATATATGCATGAAAAGTGAAGAATCACTATTGCAAAATATGTCATTGAATATGTCATTAAGCATTTGAGAGGAAGATCACGGAGGAGGTTATGGAGTTACAATCATAACTCCATAATTATTAGAGTATTGGGAGTTATGGAGATAATGGAGAAGAGTAGACAACCACCATAATTTAATTTTCTTATAACACTCATCCTTCGATGTCCATAGATAATGTGCCTCGTTAAAATCTTATTAGGAAAAAATCCTATGGAAAAAAAAAATCTCAGTGAAGGAAAAAGAGTACACATGTTTAGAAATACGCCTGTTGGTTGCCTCGTAAAAAACCTTGCAAGGAAAACCCAGTGGGACAAAACCTTGTAAGAAAAAAAGAGTACAACGCGTATTAACTCCCCCTGATGAGAGCATCAATTCATATTCTTGAGCCTTCGTATCCCAATCGTGTACACTAATTTCTTGAAGGTTGACGTCGGTAGAGATTTGATGAACAAATCAGCCATATTATCACTTGAACGAATCTGTTGCGCATTGATATCACCATTCTTTTGAAGATCATGTGTGAAAAATAACTTTGGTGAAATGTGCTTTGTCCTATCTCCTTTTATGAATTCTACCTTCAATTGGGTTATGCATGCTGCATTGTCTTCATACAAAATTGTGGGTAGTTTGTCATACTTCAAATCACATTTGTCTCGAATAAGATGTATTATAGATCTCAACCATACACATTCTCGACTTGCTTCATGAATAGCAATTATCTCAGCATGATTAGATGAAGTAGCCACGATTGATTGCTTAGTCGATCGACAAGATATGGCAGTGCCTTCACATGTAAACACATAGCCTGTTTGAGATCGGGCCTTGTGTAAGTCAGATAAATACCCAGCATCGGCATAACCAACAAAATCGGGATTGCAATCATTGCCATAAAATAAATTCATATCGGTAGTCCCTTTTAGATACCGCAATATATGTTTGATTCCATTCTAATGTCTACTTATAGGAGCGAAGCTATATCTTGCTAAGACATTAACTGACAAAGTCATGTCAGTCCTTGTAGTGTTAGCAAGATACATTAGTGCACCAATTGCACTAAGATATGGTACTTTAGGACCAAGAAGCTTTTCATTATTTTTATGAGGTCGGAATGAATCTTTATTTATATCAAGTAATCTCACAACCATCGGGGTACTCAATGGATGTGCTTTATCTATATTGAATCGCTTTAAAATCTTTTCAATGTATGCTGATTGATGGACAAAAATTCCATCTTTCATATACTCAATTTGTAGACCAAGACAAAATTTTATCTTTCCAAGATTTTTCATTTTAAATTCTTTCTTTAAACAGTCTACTGCTTTAGGAAGCTCCCCAGGAGTTCCAATGATATTTAAACCATCAACATATACGTCGATTCTAACAAATTCAGATCCTAATCTTTTTATAAAGACACAAGGACAAATTGAATCATTCTTGTACCCTTATTTCAACAGGTACTCACTCAGGCGATTATACCACATGCGCCCTGATTGTTTCAATCCGTATAAGGATTTTTGAAATTTTATTTAATAAATTTATTGGAAACCTTAATATGTTTCAGAACAATTTAAATCCTTCAATGATTTCCATTATACGCATATCAAGTTTTTCATGTATTGCTAGATTAAAACCTGAAATGACTACATCCACCACAGAAGAGCATGTCTCTATATAATCAATGCCAGGATATTTAAAATCTTCTTGTAACACAAGTCGTGTTTATGTCTATCGACTTGACTTTTTTCGCACAAGAACACATTTATACCTCTACTGGCTTTAAACTTTCAGGTGTTGGGATTATCCGTCTAACTTTACATTTTTCAGGTGAAGTCAATTTTCATTGTGTATTTTTCATTTGGCCAATCATTTATCTGTCCAAATTTCATGACAGATTTGAGCTCAAGATCCTCGTCAATAATATTGAGCGCTATATTATATTAACAATATCGTCGACGATCATTTTATGTCAGTTTCATTATTACCCAATAAAGACATAACTTAATGAGATCTCTTTATCTCATTATTTTTAGGTACCTGAGCCTCTCCTATGAGGTCTTATGAAATGTTATGTCGTGGTGCTCGATGAGGTCTTATGACCATCTTGAACATTTTCTCCTCTCCTTCTTCAAGGAGTTTTATCTTTGGAACCGATTAGTCTATTATACTTTATGCGTGCCATAAAATTTGTCCATCACGGGCATTATTCTATTTGGAGCAATAGCAGCTGAAATATAACATTTAGATTTGGGTCAGCAAATGCGTTTGGCAATAATTTAAAAATGAATTATCACTTGAACTTCAAGTTCATATTTTCTTGTACGAGGATCTATATGTATTCATAATAATTCATTCCACGTATCAATTTCTCAGCTGCCCATTTTCTCCCCCTAATATTGGGATCACCAATACATTTTCCAACCTTCTTTGGGAACCCATCTTTGTGCACTATGCTGGCATAATTAAATCATATAGCACATCCATATTTTTAGATGAAAATTATTTGGTTCCTGACCCTGAACCGATTGTGATAGGGAGAACTTTTCATAACTTGGCTAGATGCGTACAAGTGCTGATGTATATTAAATAATACATCTCATACCAAATTTTATTTTGGGAGTTTTGTTTTCATAACCAATGGTTTAGCTATAATTAGAGGTATACAATTTCTGCTAAACCAACTTAGATTTAAGCTAGTATTATCATGATAAATCATCATAATTTATATTTTGGAACTTTGCTCTAATAATTTGAGCAAGTAACCTTGCAAATGTCAAACTGCAAGTTGATTAAAAAATGCACATGTGACCATACAATAGATGCATCTATTAAAATCATATAATAGTAAACGGTCTACATGGCAGGTGACTGGGCCCATATATTTATCACCTTTTATTCGTTCCAGAAATCAAGGGATTCAATCCCAACCTTAACTGGTATATCATGAGAATAAGCAGCACAAGAGAATTCTTAAAGAATCTACTATTTCTTCAATATGCGTGAATTCTCAATTAAATTTTGTATCATAATTGAACCGGGATGGCCAATCGATCATGCCAACTAATATTTATTTCAGTAAACATCTAGTTTACTTGTGCCATGTGATTCAATCATCATGCTTATAGTTGTGTAGTATAAATAAAAGGAAAGTCGGGTAGCCTTTTATATTTTCCCGATATGATTATAGTAATTTGATGATATTCAATCTTCCTTTCATTTATGATCTCAATATGCCAACCAGTTTGGTTAATATATTTGTGTAATGACCCGGCCAGTCGTTCCGAGAGTTATAGCCCTGTTTTCGCTTTTTTGCTTCTTTATGTGTTGTTCAGCTGTGTTGAGTTGCATCGAGTTGGTAGGTTTGGGTCCGGAGTAGTTTTGGAGTAAAATGAACACTTAGTCCCTTAGTTAGAAAGCTAAGTTAGAAAAGTCAACCAGAAGTTGACTTATGAATAAACGAACTCATTGGGTGATTTTAGACTTAGGAGTGTGTCCGAAATGTAATTTTGGAGGTCTGTGGTAGAATTAGGCTTGAATTGGCGAAAGTTAGAAATTTGGCAATTTTGGTCGGCGGTGAAAAATTAGGTATTGGGGTCGGAATGGAATTCCAAAAGTTGGAGTAGGTTCGTAGTGTCATTTATGATGTGTGTGCAAAATTTGAGGTCATTTGTACGTGGTTTGATAGGTTTCGGCGTCGTTGGCGAATTTTGGAAGTTTAGAAGTTCTTAGGCTTGAATTCGAGGTTGATTTGGTGTTTTGGTGTTGTTTTGGGTGTTTCGGAGGTTCAACTAAGTTTGAGTAGTGATATATGACTTATTGGAATTATTGGTTGAGGTCCCGAGGGCCTCGGGTGAGTTTCAGATAGGTTTGGGTTGTGTTGCGCTCTTTTTTCTTATGTTTTGACGCCGTTTTTTCAAGCATAAATGATATCATATTGCAAAAAATGAGCTCCAATTTCTTTTTTGATTGAAACGTTAGATCCGAATCGTAATTACAGACCCGTAGCAAAAAGGATCGTCAAATTTGGACATCGTGTGAGGATTTTATGGTCATTTTACTAAGAATTAGGTTGTCAGATTTTTCAGATTAATTACGCAACTGCCACTGACGGCGTATTTAAAAATCTACACTATTTGCAAATATTGAAACCAATATATCTCCTTCATTATAAGGTCAAATTGAGTGATTCAAAAGCCTAACTTGACTAGCATTTCACAAGGAATCTAGTGGAGGCATAAAAAGCGAGTTTCGGGATCGTTTGGCATGAGAAACGAGGCAAAATATCTGGCAAAAAAATATATAAAATAAGGGTTTGTTCATTCGGTCATATTTTGAGTTGGGGAGCTCGGATTTGGGCGATTTGGGAGGCGATTTTCACCATAGGGATTGGGGTAAGTGTTCTCTACTTGGTTTTGGTTATATTTCATGAATCCATCTTAGTTTTTGGGATTTGATTGATGATTTCAAAGTAAAATTGAGGGAGTTAGGGCTTGAGTTTTGGAGAGTTTTAGGTAGGGATTTGAGGGACCAAACGGAGTCCAATTTTGAAAATTTTATATGGTTAGACT